AGGACTTTGAAGGTTAGATGCCTCCAAACGTATCTTTGAAAAGCTAGTACTTGGGGAAGTATCTGAAGAGAAACGATCGAGAAAGGGTACTTGTTAACAAGTATAACAACAAAATGTGACGATTCTTTTGTTTTGGAAAAGTAAGAAGTGGGTGATTTTTTTTACTAATTAAAATTAAGAATCCAGCAGTTTAAACACCATCAAATCACGCGACTGTTAGCATGAAATTGGTGTAATTGTTAACTAATATTGATATGCACCATCATTGTTTTGTTGATTTAAAAACTGCACTTATTATTTGGGATAGCTGTGCCAGTGCCTTTCATTTCTTGATTCTAAACCGTGTTATATCTACCACAAAGGGGGAATGACAAAGGACAAGAAATGTGCAAAATTATTGCCAAAAGGAATATCGCATTCCCCAAGCTGTTCAAGAAAATAACAGAAAGAAACACTTTTCGTATATGCTGGCCCAATTTCAAGATCCATCAGGGTCCATTAGCCATTCCCCATTAGGATCCAGCACAATTCCAGCTCAGCTACGGGTACCTGTTTTTCCTGGTGCTTTATTTGAGGGTGCTAGCTGAATCTCTCTAGTTCTGTCAAAACAACTAATTTCCTGTTAACATATTTGATTTACACTCATGGAAGAACAGAACATGAAAACAAAAGTAATGAAATGTCCTTTTGAAAGCTATTTATATGCTTTGATCATGTAGTTCTCATTGTTTCATGTCCCATATACTTCCATTGTATCTTGCCTCTAAACCCAAGTTTAAATTGAGACCAACCTTCCCCTTCTTTAGGTCTTCCTCTATTTCTTGTAAAACTTCGTCATTTATGGATAGGTCTCCTTTGCAACCTTCCGGACTGAATTCAACTTCCATCACTGCCGGTACTTTTGTCTTCAAGACTAATGGCTCTGCCAATGAAGCACACGAAACAAGATTAACAAATCAAAAGGCTCAATAGAAATCTCAACATCATTAATTTTGGCTGAAGAAAACAAACTTGGCGGTCCAATTGGCAACCAATTGATTTTCCATCACCCTGAAATCAATTACCATAAATGAATCTAAATGTACAACTACATTTCGATTTCTTGGACCATACTTTTCATTTATGTATATCCCGGTCAAAGAAAATGCAGAAACTGGGCTGGATCTAGCCCATAGCACTTTGGAAGCTTCAGCCAGAGCCCTTTACTTCAAGCCGCATGAAAGAAAAGGAACATCCCAAACATATTATTACATTCCAACTTGTTTTATGACTTTAGCAACAAAACCATTTCAACATTTTGTCAATGTTCAAAGTTCACCTTATTACATTGGTCAAAGAACTGACACGAATATATATGTTCCTCACTTTTTTTTTACCTTCCCCTTTAATAGAATTCACCATTCGGGAAGTAGAATGGAAGGGACTACCATTGTAAGCCTATTTAAATAAAATCACTTATAGTTCTTATGCAGTTATGCTGTGATGAAAAAACATGGAAGAACAACAGACGGGGTCCAACATTGTCATTATTGCATTGGTGAAGGTTTGGTTGTCTGGAAACAGTTAGCATGTGGAGTGAGATGTGATTGATGCTGGGGATAAAGGACGGTGGTTTGCTTGGCAATAGGTGCCGCTGGTGGTAGTTGAACTTTCGCAAAACGTTGTGAGGTGGGATGGCACGATCGTGTACCATGGGTGACATTAGGTGAGCTGACGTGATGGCTTAGCGGTTCAGGCCAGGCCAAGTTTTTATAGCAAGCTGCTTGTTGGTAAGCTACCAAATTAATTAATCTTGATTATTAATAAGATTAAACTGATCGGTGCATAATTTATATGGAAAGTTATATTCAAATTCAATCTCTAAGTATATCTTTCCAAACATAGGAAAATTTTATGCACGATAGATTTAACAAATTTTATCAATATATAAATTTTGATTTTTAATTTAATCATTTAAAAAAAATCACAACTAATTTTATTTAAAAATTGCATTTAAATATTGTCGAATTTGAATTTGGTCTTTGTAATCTCCAATCAAAATTCTTGATAAAGTCAAAGATTATAATCTTTTGTTGATATTAATTAGACTCAAAATAAACCAAAACTTGGGTAATCTACAACCCTAAGTTACAAGTATTAGAGAAATAATTGCCTCTCTAAGGCCTATTAAGTCATAAAATGCAAGGAAGGACCTTCCTATACATGATAGTGGGATCAAAACCCAATTTAAAACAAGACATGATAATATAATATAAATATAATATGAAAATATAATACGAAATTAACACGATTTAAAATTTTAGTAATAATTATTTATAAATTTAATAAAATAAAAAAATATATTTTTATCTTCATGTCGATATGAATTGTCATACGTAATTTTTATATAAAATAAAATATGAATAAATGAATTTTAATATTTTACATAATACGAATACATAAATTATTAAATATATTAAAATTTTAAAAAATAATAAAAAATTAGAGATATGCTATGGGAGCCTACTTTTCTGCTTTTTGACAAGGTGATAATCTTTACATATATATATATATAAAAGAAACAATCGGCCAACATGAAACGAACCATATATCCTTTCAAGATTTTGAATTTGCAGCATACTAAAGTTTGGAAGCCTAAAAGGATGGATTAGATCCGAGTTTAATTTTTGAGCTAAAAACCTAAAATGGTATGGGCTTCTCTCTCTCTCTCTCTCTCTCTCTCTCTCTCTCTCTCTCATTTATTTTATTTAAATTTATTTATTCTTTTGGTCGATCATCCAATTCCCATATTAACCAACCAAATTGCCACCTTTTTTATTTTAATATTTGTAAGGATAAGTAAGTTGAACTGTCTTCCCCACCAATTCCTTAAAGTATGCATCTTTATTTGCACATTTCTGAGTTTTAAGTAATGGATCTGTAAAAAAAATAATCCATTAAAAACAAAATTATCAAATTTTTTTATTGTTTATAATATTTCAAGATAATTTTAAAATTTATTTTGAATTTAATTTTCTTCTTATCCAATTTTAATAATGTATATTCATTTATATCAATATGATACATTTAAAATTTTATTTTAAAAATATTTCTCGCAAAAATTGAATGACAAAAAGTGATCTTAAAATAACTATAAAATTATTTAAAATATCATGCGCTGCTTTGTAAATATCGCAGCTAGTTAACGACAAAAGGCCTATGAAAGTGGACAATCCAATTTGAGATCAATTATATGAGTTAGTATAGCATTATTATTACGGTTGAAAAATTTTTTGGGTTGAAAAAAATTTTGTTTAAAAAATGTAACGAAAAAAATAAAATTTAAATATTTAAATATTTAATATTATTATAAAAATATTTTAAATAATTGAAAAACCTACAAAAATATGATAATAAAATATTAAAAATATAAAGATAATAAAATAATTTTCATCTCTGAATATACTTTGTTAATGCGAAAGCATCCATAACGAGCTTTTTTATTTGAACTGGAAAATCAAACTTTTAAATTAAAAAACTAAAACTATTTTTATTATTTTAACATTGTGTTTGATTTCAAAGCAATTTTTTAACGAAAAATTACTTGTAAAAATAATATTAAACAGTTATAACTCTAACTCGACGTACGGTTCGTTAATTATATAAAATAAGCATTAAAAAACTCATGATTTTAACCGCAAGATATAGGTGCAGGAAGAAAAAAAAAATTAAGCACTACAGAATTCCAAAAAAAAGAAAAAAAAAAGGTATATTCTAATTATTTGGCTATTTTTTATTCTATTAATGTATCAATATCATAAAAGTAGCTGGGAATTTTGAAAAATATCTTACGATCGAAAGCAAAGAATCATACAAATCACGTCTCAATTGTCGATAGAAAAAAGCCAAAAACAATGTTTCTATCAGGCTACATTTATCTACATAGCAATCATCATTCACCAACAATTTTATGCGTTTATTGCGTAAAAGTAAGTTATTGTGTCCCTGCAAACCGTCAACCTCAAACAGTGACCTCCTCACAGCCAGCATATCAAGGTTATTTATGGAATATTTTCAACCATCTCGTTATTTGATTCTTTTATAGTCCAATATATTTTAATATTTTATATTTAAAATTATATAATTAAAATTTTAATGTTTTACCATGTATCGATATAATCTTAAAAATTTTGATTTAATATTATAATGATAGTGATGTGTTAAACAGAGAAACCAGTCAAACCATATCAACAAAAAATGAACATGGATTTGACAAATAGGTAAACAAAACGGCCCGAAGATTCAACAGAGCAAGCTGTTACACGACCCAATGAGCGAGGAAACCATAAGCCATGACTTAAAAACTTTTTTTTTTTTGGGGGATGGGGGGGGGAGGTAGAAAGCTGGTAATCATAAAATTATAGGATAGATGGGTACATCACATGTACAATAGCTTCACCAGCAGCTAGTATGGCGATTAAAAAGTCAGCTGACATAGTACATATAGCAAAATAAACAAAATTAAAGGAATCAGTACTTGTATTCAACAGAGCCCTGAAGTCATACATCGACCAATGTGTTGAGATAATAATTAGGGATGTTATAGTTTGAGATAAGACCGATTTAGGCATAACAATGGCTAAGCTCCCAATATTAGCTTGTTTAGCTGAAGTCAACTTGTCTTTAAAAGCTGAAAGCTCGCAGCCCTTGGGATATGTCTATATGAAGATGGTCCCTATAAATAGTTCCTGCACGCCCCAGCTTTTCTTGGATTTCCCATAGGGATGTGACTTCACTTGCGAGAAAAATCGGTGTATGTTTAATGCTTAGGATTAATGCTCTAGACAGATCATAATTAAAACAACACTATTGGTTAGCAATTGGGCGAGAAAAATAGAAAAAAACTTACCATGTAATTTTAGCATGATCAAACCCAATACAAGAAAAAAAAATTATGGGTAAAACATTGAAATGATGAAGAAAAACAGGCCTCTCCTCACCAAGGAATTTGATTTGCTCTAGTCAACAGATCATTGGTTACTCGATCCCATTGAGTGGGCCCAAGGACTTAGATGGCCAACCATGATCTGTCCCACTCCAGATGTGAAATGTGTCTCACCTCTCAATAGATTGGTTATGCCTAAGCTAATGGCTAGGCAAGTAAAGCATGTTTTCTACGTGTGAGCAAATCACATACTTCTTCCTACTAAAGCGTCAATTCCTAACAGCAATGGCATTCCCGTGAATAACAACTAAATCACTGGGTAGTCTTCTAAAGCCAATGATCAAACGCAGCGTTCCGTATCCCCCAACAAGTACTACGACTATTACAGTTAGGAACTAACTACGGTTAAAATCCTAACTGTTATGGAAGTAACCATGGTTAATTCATCCTCCCCAATCAAAACCTTTCCTTTTAAAAACCTCACCCTCACGAACACCACAAAGCAACTGCGAGAAAAGTGAGAGGGAACCAAACAGAAACTGCAGGAAAGTGCGAGACTTCTCAAGAAAGTGGCCATATAAAAAAAAAAAGTGATAACTTCACTGAAAAAATGGCGTTTTACGTCGGCGAAGAAGAGGTCTGGAAATGCCCAAAGCATCCTTCGAAACGTCGCCGCAGTGGAATTTGTCCGGTTTGCCTCCGAGACAAGCTCGCTTCTCTTTGCCCAGACTGCGCCCACGCGCGTCCTTGCGCATGTAGCGCAACCTCTTCTTCTTCCTCCTCATCTTCCACCTTCTCTCGCTTCTCAACTGCGGCGGTCAGGGATATCTCAGGTGTAGGCGCTGTTGGTCGAGTTTCTAATCTTTTCGAAAGCGAACCCACGTTCCGACGATCCAGGTCCCTCGCGATTCCTTTTCTCAGACCGAAACCTGAGAGTTTAAGAGAAAAGAATGATTTGGCGGGTAAAAAGAGCAATACTCCGTCTTTTTGGTCGATGTTTAGAGCTAGCAATAAGAGCAAGCAATACGAGAGTAAAGATCATCAAAGAGAAGGCGAGAAAGAGAGAATAGCGGCGGAGGAAGAACGGAGGAAGATGATGAGGAAGTCAAGGTCAGTGGCGGTGACGTCACATTCCGGCATCGGAGATTTGAAATCGTCGTCGTCCACTAAAGGAAAGAGCTGGTATTTCCCGAGTCCGATGAAGGTTTTCAGGCAAACTAGGGTTTCCAAATTGGTATTCCAAGAACGCTCTCCTTTGTATAGGTAGAGGTTGATTTCTTTTAGTCTTTTTTTTTTTTTTCCTTTATAATTTGTATAGTAATAAAAAAGTAAATGTCACAAAATTAACAACAGAAACAAAAGAACGAAAATATGACTATATTTTAAAACTATTTTGGAATTTGAGGTTTTGTAACTGACTGAATATGAGTGACTGATGGTAGAATGTTGAGTCAGACGAAGGAATTTCATTTTTTTTTGTTTAATATAACATGTTTATGGCTATCGTATTATTGCAATTGATTTAAATTTTAGTCTGGTGAACGATATCTTAATTTAGTGATAAGAAAAAGATTTTAAAATTCAGATCTTAGATTCAGATTTTATAGTGTAAGTTATGATTATTTAATTATATTTTAATTATGAATGTAATAGTTTATTATAATTTCAAGAAAAATTTAATGTATTTTTTATTTCTGATAATTTTATGAAAATTGTGTTAATTTTCTCCATTAATTTTCCTTGATCACACTTTTTTTATGTATTTCTTTGGTACAAAGTTTTCAATTTTTTTTATTATACAGTCATGATATTTTCAGATTTTATAGAAGATAAAATTTTTTTTTGAATGATTTTAAAAACAACCTTTCGATTTTTTATTACTTTGATCTAATATATCTTTTGATAATTTTAAAGTTACATTTTTCAAATTAATTTGATTTAATGCACTCAAAATTTTACTTAAAAACATTTCTCTTAAACAATTGACAATAAAAATGAGCTTTTCTTTGTTTTCTTTTTTCTTCTCAATGTTCCCTTTTCTTCGTCCCAATTATTTTCATTCTCAACGATGCCAAAGATTTTGGGTGAATGATGACGTATTTTGTTTCAATTTTATTTATTTATTTGTTTATTTTATGTATCTATTTTATTTGCGGTACTTAATTATCATAAATCGAAAATTCTTTATTTGATAGCCAAAAAATTAAGTTAAACAATATTATTAAATGTATAATTAAACCCTAATCTCTTGGGCTTAGGATTTGACAAAAAAAAAGGGATGTATTATGTTTGGCAATATTCACAAACCTATCTGATTTTCCTTTTTTAAAAAATCCTTTAATTCATGTCGGTTTAAAAAAAAATAATTATCTCATTTTTAAAATCAGAATAAATCGTTAATTCACGTAAAAATTTACGGTTCGTTTGAGATTTTTTAGATTTATATATTATTCATGAACCAAAAATCATAAGGTTTAAATCTAAATAATTTGTATTTAAATTTTAAATTTTAATCACTTGTGTTAAGTTGACAAATTTATCATTTGATTTTTTGTCACTTTATGAAAATGTGCTGATGTGATTAATACGGGCAAAGGAGTGATTCAACTTAATTTTATAAATTATTTATCGCTTGATTTTAGTGGTGCAAAATTAAGCCATGTTCTTGACGAAACATATTGTCTTTGTCTTCAAGCAACGGTCCATCCCAATCCAATAATAATAATAAAAAAAAACCATCTTATTTATTGCGCAAAAACATCAGGGAATTTTGTATTTAAAGGTGGCCTCAATTCATAATCAATGCAGTTTGCTGTAACTGTATAAGTGAATTATTATTTGCTATTGAATCAGAATTCAAGCTTAAAAGATAGCAGTATTTAATGGGTCTAAAATTTAAATTTATTTCATTAGTGAACCCATCTTTTTCTCTTAATTGTAAATGTATGTAGACATATTATTAATACATATTTATTGGTTGTACTATGCAAGGAGAAAAAAATCTTATTAATTTTGTCCAATTTAATGAATTATTACTATTCGAATTAAAAACTTTCTTAATAAACCAACATAACTCCACCACCAATGCGACAAATTCCATAACGTCCACTACGAAATTAATGTGAGGCTGATCTTAGTGATAAACCAACCCCACAGATTACATAAGAAATTAATCTCACAATAATTTTTATAATATCATAGATTTATATTAGATACATTATATATTATTATTGAATTAAATAATAACACATCGTTAATAAAATGAATTAGATAATATTATTTTATTAATGAATATTTTTTTAAATTAATTTTTTACATATTTATTTTAAAAATTAATATTTATTAATTAATAAAAAATAATTATCTAATTTACTTATAATATATAAATTTTGTTTTAATAGTGCATCAAATATAAAGTAATAGTATGTTTAAGTCTGATGTTTTGAGTCTTTGGAAAACAAAAAGCAATCATGAGTTTCATTTTCTAATCACTGGGATCATATGAATTAAAACAAAAATGCTGTATATATGTGTGTTTAATTGTAAGTCCAAATTAGCCAATTTTCTGGTCAAACCAGTCCACATTATGTTTTCCTTGCTCATTTTACTCAAAAAATCTAGATGGAATCACACCCAAAAGCTGTGTGTGTACCATTCTACACAAAAGATGGGGGGCAAGACATAATTTCCAACCAGAAATGTATGTCAAGAAAGACACCATACATTTTCAGAAACTAATCAAACACTTTCTATTTCTCGTGGGACCTTTACAACCTTAACGCTCTGAATGTTTGGATTCAGAATCTGAAAATTGAATTTAAACCATAATTCCAGTTCCAAGACAGCAATATTCTGTACAAATATGTAGAACCTTAGCACATGTAATCTGAATACCAAAGATACTTAAAAAGGAATAAACTAAATCCAAATTGCTATTTGCAAGTTGCCAAAAGCTGATCTCTAACTTGAATAATATAAAGGGTTTGCATAATTTCTGTAATGGGGGAGAATCGATCCTCTTTTGGCCACTTGTGATTATGCAGGTGGATCAAGAGTTGTATCCCTTTGTTGTTTATTATTAATATTTGACAATAAGGATCCTGAAACGCGCAGACCAACTGTTAAATCTTCTAGCCACCCACTTTTAAAGCATCCTCTGATTTTCTTCTTTATATTGATACAGCTTAATGGCTGTGCATTGTGCAAAATATTGTGGTCCTCTTATTAAATGAAAGCACACTGTTTACTACTGTTTCTTTATATATAGACACTTTAGCTTAACTATACATGTTCAAGTTGGTCGCTGCAAGTCAATGGCAACTTCATGTTTGTACTTTTTTTTTTTTTTGTTTCAATTATTTGTGAAGTCCAAAGCGAGGACAGAAACTAAGGCTGTGTTTATACAAAACATGTTAAAATAATTAGATAAGTCTTTAGGTAGACTTTAAGTCTCGCGCCAGAGCCTGGCAGGGAAGATGGCACAGTGGGGAAGCAAAGGGATTTGAAAGTTGGGTGTGAAGAGAATCTCGATTCTTGGTTTCTGACACGTAGGGACTAAGGTCATGGATATTATTCAACCCAAAAGGCCAGAAAACTGGAAAAGGGAGTTCGACAAGATCATTTATCCAAATTGCTATGGTGGCAGCAGTTGCTTTTGAGAAACAGCCAACCAAACTAAGACAAATGCTGATAAGGCTTTGGAGTCAAGCTGCGTCCTGAGTTCCCTCAGGTTGAGTTACTGAGTTAATCCTCCGTTTGGGGGACCTTGGCCTCCTCGAGTGGAGCTCGATAGACTCAATCCCTCTACAGTCAAGATTATCTATCTCAAACGCTGATAAAATTATTAAGAATACATCATCCACATGCTATGATATTAATTTGTCCCCAACCTATAGTTATGTTCTTGAGCCTTTTTTTTTTTTTTTTTTGTGTTAGGAGCGCTTGTATGAGTATAATTACATACTGTTAGGGGCTGAACTTGCAGTTGACACAATCACCAGATTAATTTGAAGATTTGAGACTGAATGAAGCTAATTTTCCAAATATCATCAAAATTGTCGAGGGCAAATCTCTAGGAACTTGAAGAACAAACCATGGAATATTTCCTCAGCCTGATCGAAGAGCTTAATACTGAATCATGCATCGTTGTTAACCTACCATATCTTTACAAGATAGATTTTATGAGAACTTGAGATGCAGAGCAAACAAACAAGCGTGATGTATCAAGCATAGATTACACATAAACCAATGCAATGGAGGGGATACTTGACTGTGTACAATGTACAGGCCAGGAGTGCATGAGAACATGCCTTTTTGCACAACAACAGATGCATCCATCTCTCACTTTGTAGCTAGTTTGCACCCTCCATCAATGATCTATCTCAACGAGAAACTGTCCATTGTCCAAGAATCCGAGAGAAAAAATTTGGAACTGCCCTGTTTTAAAAAGTATGTCACATTTGAATGAGTTAGGGTAGTTATCCATCGACTTATAAAAATCTAATATATGAGGTTGAGGTGTTCAATTCATAGCAAATTGTGTGTAAAGTTAAGAGAAGAGAACCCTATCATCTTCTCTTTTTTGAGGACCCGAACATGGGTGGGTTAAAGGCAAGTCATGTGGGGAGATGCCCCACATTGAACGTGGAAGTGTCGTTTTGGCACTTGGTGGCACTAGAAAAAATGCCATAGCTTCTGCTTTCATTGGATTTTTCAAATGAGACATCTGAATCTCTTTCTTTTTTTTTTCTTTAACGCATTTAGGGACCTGTGCCATTTCAAATGACAGACATACGCACACGAATGCCAATTGTTTTTCCTTAACAATAGGTGGAAGAAATGGCAATCAGATGAAGCCAAAGCTGTTGATTATTATATACAAAGGTGTCACAATGTTACTCGTTGAGCATGGCGGAGAAGGTTTACTTAAATTGTCGATTGAAGCCTTTTTCTAGAAGTTAGATAACGCGCTGTGCGAAGGAACTTAAGATTTTGGTTACAACTTTCGGACGAATGCCATTGTCAAGTCACATGAAAACGTAGGCTCTCCTTGACAATGAGCATGATTGGGTTCATGAATTTCATGATTTACGACTAAAAAGGTTTGTATTTGTTTTTGTTGGGGTTCGTTTGCATTTGGTGTCCAAAAAAACCATACGGCCCTCGCTAAAAACCTATGCAATGGCTTTGTATATCCATAAATAGGCCCAAACCCGCGCCGAACCTCATCCCATTATAAACTGACCTTGAATGAATAAAGAAAGTGGTTGGCCTAAAAGAAATGAATAGAGTGATACCACATAATGCAGCTGTTCAGCCATCAAATCAAACAGACAAGAAGGATCCCCTCACGGCTCTGGCCCTTTGCTTCTTTCCCAAAAGAAGCTCAAATTTAATTGCCAAATCTTTTGCCAGTGACGGAAGTGGGCTGCACCATGGAGTCCCACCACAAACGAAATGCTACTTAAAGCTTTCGAGTGTTTCGTGGAGGATGAATACTTGCATGATTTTTGAGACCTTCAAAGATTGAGATTAT